ACTCAGGAGGGTGAGGTGGGAGGATTGCTGTGAGTTTGAGGCCATCCTGGGCTACGTGCTGAGTTCAAAATCAGCCTGAGCTATCTAGTGAGACTCTGTCTCAAAGAACCAAGGAAAAAAATCTATAGCATTTGTAGACAGTCCTGTAAACAATCAGGATATTTACAAGGAATTTTCTAGCATTGTAGCAGCTGCAAAGGAGAACTTTAGTGACAGATTTTTATAGTTCCTTAAGATGGAGACAACCTATCTTTTCTTGTCCAAATAAAGCCATGTTTGAAGATCTTGATCCTTCCTACTACAGTGGACCCTACAGGATAGGACAGGACCTTTGGATGTTGAGAAGACTGGGACTAACTGTTTACCTCCTAGCCCACCTCTGCACTTGCACGAACCTTCACTTCTCAGTTCTCTGAGGACCATTGCTGCTGCCCTGTATTTGTCCCTACTGAGGCTGTGTATGGGAAGGATGCTTCTCCTTCCGGAGGCCTGACCTTTGTCACTGTGAGTCCCTTTGTGTCTGCAAGAGAAGAAAGACTGGAAGTATGTTACCATGGTCATCAATGGGAGATTCCTCTGGTTGTTGCTCATCTGCTTCCTAGGCAGGAGGGTTGAACCACTGCCTGTGGGGACACCCTTGCACTCAACATGCAGCAGATGAACAGAAAGCAGTGCATCTGGAGTCATTCTTGTTCCAACTCAAACTTGCAGTTTGAGCTAGGTATGATGGCTCATACCTGTAATCCCAGCACTCTGGGAGGCTGTGGCAGGAAGATCATAGTTTAAGCATAACGTGGGCAACTTGTGCATGAGATTGTCCCAAAAGTTTAAAAAGGAGTGGGGATGTAGTCAGTGCTATCTGGGTTCTCTTTCTTCTAAACCCACACACACCTCTCCCTGGCAGACCCAATTGAAACTATCTAACCATGACTGTATGTTTCTATTTCTGGGTCAGTGTATAAAACAAGAGCCCAACGGAGTTGGCCAAGGTAATCAAGTTCCCTGGGAACAAATCATACCCAGACCTGGGCTAAATTCAACCCTCTTGGCTGAAGGTGAGTCTACAAAAATGGACATAGCAGTTGTCCTGAACCCAGCCAACCCACCTTGACCTAGCCTAACAGAACCCACTTGACACCAATATCCAGACATTGGTCAATGTTTAAGAAAATGGTCAGGGAGAGTGGTCAAGTGTCTTGACCCAACTTTTAGTTGTCTACTCAGATGATATTTCTTTTTGCCACCACATCTCCAGTGCATGTCACACACTGAGCATGTAGAATGCAAGAAGTATTTGTCCAAGGACATGAATGAGTGAGTGAAAGGCCATCCCAAGGGTGTGGAGCTCTCCCATCAGATCTGAGCAAGAAAACTTGCCCGCCCGGGAACCTCACCAGGTCCCAGGAGCATCCCAGCCCCTGAGATGGAGGTACCTGCCCATTGGAGCCTCCTCTGGGTGTTGTTGCCACCTAGAGGGAGACTCAGGAATGTCCCAAATACACTTACACTACCCAGATTGGAGGAGCCACATAGTGGGGATAGTGACTGGATGTGCTACGTGACTAGCAGCTGCAAGGCAGTGGGTTGAAGGACCCTGTGAAGGGAAGGTCTGCAACTGGGCTCCAGGTGGACGGCCGTGAATACCCAATGGCACTAGCTCTGTTTCCTACAGCTGTAATGAGTCACAAAATCAAAACGCAACAGGGTGGTGCTCCTTATGGGGAGGACCTACTTTTGCCTTTCCCTGCTCAAAAAGGTGGCACCTGTGATCCCTCACAGCAGCAGCATCATTCCTCGTGTTCCTTGATTCTGACCTCCTTGGTCTCTCTCTCATGGCACCCCTCAGATTGGCCAGCATAATCTCATCTCAAAATCTTTTACATTATCACACTGAAAAGCCCCAGATGATGTGAACACGTGATTTATCTGCTGTCTTCCTGGAGATATTTTGTGTTTTTTCCATTTAAAACTATCGCTGTACCTCACCTCCATTACCATAGACCCACCCAGTCTTTTCTAGTTTAAGTAGTAAACATTCTAAAACTGCACTTTCCTTTAAAAAATTGATCCCTTTTCAGGTTTACTTCTGAGGTTCAATCACAATCCATGTGAAGCCAAGATATTTTCCTAGGGCAAAGATAGTGTTACGGTTTGTGTTTGGAAGCCCCCTCAAAGCTTCAAGCAGTCATGGAAGTGGCTGAATCTAGTGTTTGTGATGGGTTCATTGTGTAGCACTGGGATTGGCAATTTGAGTGCTGCACTTACCCAGGAATGGGGTGCTGGCATACAATATGAGGGAAGGAGGCATGGTTTTCCCTTTTTGCTCTTGTTGCTTGTGCTCAACATGAACTGTTAACCCTCAGTCACACCACCCTGTGTTGGAGCCAGCTGAATATGAACTGAAACCTCCAAAAACCATAAGCTAAATAAACCTTTCCTTTCTTCATTTTGAGCGTCAGGTATTTTGTCTCAGCGATGAGAGAAAAGCAAATAAAGATGGAAAATTTTTAATAATCTATTGGAGATGAGAATGGAACAGTGTTTGTTCTTGGGAAATATACAAGTTATTTGTCTTTTGGCAAGTTAGTCATATCTTTCTTCCAGATGTCTTCTATCTTTTTTTTTTTCTGTTGTGACAAGCCAGACCAGCAGGAATTGTATCCTATTATAATAACAAGAGTAGTGCCTCTTTTTCTGAGGATATGATTCCATGTTCCAAATGTATGCTCCCAACAATGGATAATAATAAATCACATGTACATATACATAGCATTATATATATGAAGAAATTTAATTAGTAAATTATGCACAGACTTGCAATAGTACTTAATACTGAAATGGATATAAAAATATGTAATTGGTGTAATGTAAATATAGTGTCTTTCTCTGAAAGTGGCCCATGTTATTCTAGTTACCCTTCTTGTCAAGATGTAACATAACACAAGATCTATGTGATGAAATAAATTGAGATAAATGATGGATCATGGTGTATGGATATAATCATGCAACTGAGAATGGTACATGATTTGAACCTTGTCAGTTTTTATTTCTGGAATAATATTAGTCCTTGGTAAAGTCCTTGGTAAAGCAGAATAAACATGTAGATAAACAGTGATTATGATTATCTTAGCTGGTGCCACACACCACCTACTGGACATACAGGAACAAAGATTGTACCACAAACACAAGCAGCCCAGCATCATGGTTTTTGGTAGGTGAATCTGATGCTTCAGTTTTCATGCCTTGAACTCATATGCTTGTGACTATCATATCATTGTGCAGCACACTGTGGATCTCCATTTCTGGGGTCACAATGTGGCATCATACCTATCATTTGTGATTCTGCTTTTGGAATCATAAAAATCATAGATTTTCTTTAGAAGCAAAGGAAGGATGCTGAAGTCCTTTATGGAGCTAAATATTCAGGATGCCGCTATTTATAGAAAATTGACTTTTCTCCTGGAAGTACTCTATTTAACTTTTACTTTTATAAGAAAAAGCAAAAGATCAGTAATTGGAAAATGAGATAGGTATTTTACAAATGAAAACAGAATGAACGAATGGATGAAAGGGGGAGAAAGGGGAAAGAAGGGCAAGTAAGAGTGTAGATGTACTGTGTATATGTTTGAACAAATGTAAACATACACTGCAAACATACATTAATGAAATTTCTAGTGTATATGCTGCCAAAGTGAACACTAATAAAAAAACGGTTTGGCTTTTGGTTTGTTAATGTTGTCATCAGCAAGACTTGCGTGGGACATGCCATAAAACATAGTAAAGCACAATTCTGTGTGTCTGTGTATGTCCTACAGAAAAGAGCTGATATGTGGCCTACTGATCTGAGTGGGCAATAACCATCAAAAAATCCTTTATAAGAAATGTGGGAAAAGAAACTCTTACATATATGTATGTACATGATTTGAGCCTTTCCACTATAGTTCACTAACAGCACTGCGCTTTGGAGAGTTTACAGTGATGCTAGCATTACGTGTATCAATAAAGCTGAAGTGGTTACAGATGTTCCTTGAGGTAGAACATGGAAATATTTGGTTAATCCAATAAAACTGGAATAAAATACATTGAACATACACTTAATACACCAAATCTAATGAACATTATGGCTTCCCCTGTTACATGCTAATCCTGTTTATACTGACCTGTAGTCAGGAGAGATAATCTAATATAGAGCTTGCTTCATAACAAAATATAAAATACCACATATAATTTATTAAATAGAGTACACTTAAGAGTTCTTGTTTACCATTGGTATCTGGTGGCTGACAGAACAGGGCTCACTGCTGCTGCCCAAAAGAGAGTGAGTGTATTGGTTACTTATTTCTCATTGATGAGACAAAATACATGATGCCCAAAATTAAAGAAGGAAAGGTTTATTTAACTTACAGTTCGTAGAGGTTTTAGCCCATCCTCAGCTGGCTCCAGGGCGGGATGGCATGGCTGAGGGGCAACCATTCATTGTGGCTGAGGCAGAAGACAACAAAACAACAGAGCAAAAAGGGTCCAAAGAGAAGAACAAGCCACTTTTCCTAAGCTACTCACCCAAGGTGGGTGCAACAGTCATACTGCCAATCTAAGTACCACACAATGAGCCAATCACAAACCCTAGATTCAGCCATCTTTGAAGGCCCGCCCCCCCATGCCCACATGGGGCTTTTGGGGCGACATCCAGACATAACCCATAATATTAAGTATTGCTGCAGAAAACAGGAATATGTACCTGTCATGGAAATATGTTATCTTCAGTTGTATGGGGAAGATACACCCAAAAGAAAGCACAAACTGAATGGAATTACTATTTTAGTTTTCAAATATTTCCCTAGTGGTTGAACTAGTTTACATTCCCACCAGTGTTGCTGAATGGTTCCTTTACCAACTGCAGTCTCATATGACTTTTATTTTTTTGCGTTCTTAGTCATATGCACTCTTGGGAAACACATGCTGTTTCGATTTGCATTTCTCTATTGGACAAAAGTGCTGAATATTTTTTTCAGATATTTATTGACAATTTGTACTTCTTCCAAAAAGTGTATATTTATTTTACTCTCCTGTTTTTTTCCATTATTAGTACCCTACAGAATGGATAGAAAACATTTTACCATTTTGTAGGTTATTTGTTCACTTTGTTTCCATGTTTGTGCAGTTTTTCAATTTTATATGATTATTGTGTCATCTCACTTTATTTCCTACCAGACCCTAGGAACAACATTAAGAAAATTAATTTTTCAATGTCTCTCCTATATTCAGACCAAGGAATGCTTCTTATTCATGTTCTACTTTTTTATATTTTAATCGATGATGCAGGCATATATATGGCTGCTGTAACAATATTACCATGAAAAGATTATTTCCAGAGCAACAGAACCATGATTTGCAATAGTGATAAAAGAAACATCATCCTAGGTTTATGTTCGTAACCTAAAGTTGTTTCTTTCCTTAAACTTAAAATACAGACATAAAGACAACTGTTTTAGTTTGCAAAGGAATCTACCCAGCCCCTACCGCTTCAAAGTCATGATCATCCTATCTCAGCAGCCTCTTCTAATGCTGGAACTAAAGGAATACAGCATTGCATTTGTCTTAGACCTTTACACATTATTAAAGTAAGAAAAGGACAAACACTGATGTGTAAAGGTTTGTATTAAAGTAATTTTAATACTAGAGAGTAAATCTAAGAGTCCCAAATCACTGAGCTACATCTGCAGAACTTCAAAATATATTTTAAGACAGTGTCTCACTAAGTTGAATAGGCTGACCTCAATTTTGTTTTCCTTTCATATCTGCATCTTGAGTTGTTGGGATTACAAACACATCACAAGGCCCAGCAAGATTTTTTTCATGGTAAGATAATGGGAAAATAAGTGTGTTCACGGTAAAACTTCTTGTAGTTTTAACATTTCATCACAAAGTGGAATAGCAATACACACTGCCTATCTTCCTGTTGATGGTAAGAAGCAGAAATTTGCTGCAGGGAAGTTAGGTGTAAGTTGTAGGTGTAAAAATTGACAACATACTCTGCAATGTATTCTATTTCATGAATTGTATCAGTTATTTCAGATATAGTATTATACAACTGGTGAATTATTCATGTCTGAGCATAATTAAAACTAGCGCAAGTTAAATGTTCACTGGATTATTGGTATTTAAAAATGAACTGTTCACTTACTTTGCATGACACTAAAAGTATAACCCCAAGCAGAAATTGAGCAGCTTTTGTATTTGAGAGCACTGTGTAAAAATTTTGCAAAATATTTCAACGTCAAGATGCTATTTAAAAATGTAGGCTACAGGAGGCCAACTGGGACACACACTTTTAACAAGTCTATGTGCTTGAAAGCATCTGTTACATACCTCAAACATTAGACAGTGCTCCTTATGAATAATGAAAAATGGCATTGTATAAATTTATCTCTCGAACTGACAAAAACACCACAATCTTAAGTATAATTTAGTAAATTCTACCTCTTACAAAACTGATCTCTCTTGTGAGTTAGGTTTTCACTTATGGCATTTTCTGTTTATTCAGTAAAAACAATAATGGTGGTCAAACATAGTGGTACATGCCTGTAATCCCGGCACACAGGAGGCCGAGGCAGGAAAATTGTCATGAATTTGAGTTAGCCTGGATGACACAGTGAGTTCAATGCCAGCCTGAACTATACATCGTAATAAATCTCTCCATAACAAGTTATGTTCCTGCTGGTCTATAGCCATCAGAAACTAATTGCAGTGTGAGTTATTTTTGGTATATGTAGTGGAAAAATTACCACCAAATTAAGTCATTTGAACATAAACAAGAAAAGCACAATTTTGATGGTAAGAAAACAAAATTTTATGTAATAATAATAATGGCCCTAATATTAAAGAAAAATAGGCAAAATTACATACACAATATACTATACAATGCTGGAATTTAAGCAAGTGCCTTATTGTATGAGAAATATAATGTGCTAATGTACAAGATGTGCAGAAACAAACTGACTTTGTCAAAAACATATGGCCAAAGTCTCTGAAAATAACTTAAAATGACATCAAATTAAAAATATTTCCTGTTACACAGAATACAGATAAAAGATACTAAATATTTAAAACAAAGGTAACGGCAAAATCCCAACAAATAACAAAAGCAATTAACAAAATTGAGTTTTTAGTGGCCTATACCTAAACTGAGAGTTTAGTGGCCTATACTCTCCAACTGTAAAGACTAAACAAAAATTATATAAATACTAACTCTATTTGAAAGAAAAATTCACCAAGTTTAATTAAAATACAATGTAGTAAGCTCAGAGACTTACATAAAGTACTTAGTTATGTCAACTCAATATTTCTGTATTAAATCCTGCAGACACATAATCCAGATATTTAAGTGACTTACTGAATATATGTATTTTAGGATACTTCTATCTTGGATTGTACTCTGTGGAAATTTTATGGAGAAACATTGACATCAAGCTCTTTACATTAATTATTCCCACAGTTCTCCACTGCAGGAGAAATTTTCACAGGATTTCTTTTTCTTTCTCTTTTTAATTTTAAAATGAAAAAAAAAAAGTGACAGTTTCACTATGCAGCTCAAGCTGGCCTAAAACTCACTTTGTATCTTAGGCTGGCCTCAAACTCACTGTGATCCTCCTGCTTCAGCACCCTACTCCCCAAGTGCTGGGATTACAGGCATGCACAACCATGCCCAACTCAAGATTTCCAAAATACGCTTATGTAGTTTCTCCAGTGTGATTCTGTACTTGTAACAGATCTATATTGCTTACATACATAAGGTTTCTCCCCACTGTGAGTTTGTCTTTGACAAGTTCTAGGCACACTACAAGCTTTCTGACACTGCTTTCATACACAAAATTAATGCTAAGTGTGAGTTCTTTCGTGTCTTTTACAATAAGAAGCCTTGCTAAAACCTTTCCCACACTGTTTACATACATAGGGTTTCTCCCCAGTGTGCGTCCTTTCATGTCTTTGGCAAGCCCCATGAATGCTAAAAGCTTTTCCACATTGCTTACACACATACGGTTTCTCCCCACTGTGAGTTCTTTCATGTGTTTGACAAGCTCTAGGAACGCTAAAAGCTTTCCCACATTGCTTACATACATAGGGTTTCTCCCCAGTGTGAGTTCTTTCATGTACTTTACAATAATATTGAGACCTAAAAGCTTTCCCACATTGCTTACATACATAGGGTTTCTCCCCAGTGTGAGTCCTTTCATGCATTTTACAATAATTTAGTGTACTAAAAGCTTTGCCACATTGCTTACATTCATAGGGTTTGGCCCCACTGTGAATTTTTTCATGTCTGTAACGGGTACTAGACATGCTGAAAGCTTTGCCACACTGCTTGCATACATAGGGTTTCTCCCCAGTGTGAATTCTTTCATGTCTGTGACAAGCACTAGGCATGCTGAAAGCTTTGCCACACTGCTTACATACGTAGGGTTTCTCCCCAGTGTGAGTTCTTTCATGTATTTTACATTCATTGTGCCTACTGAAAGCTTTCCCACAATGCTTACATACATGGGGTTTCTCCCCAGTGTGAGTTCTTTCATGTATTTTACAATAATCTCGTGTGCTAAAAGCTTTCCCACATTGCTTACATAGATAGGGCTTCTCTCCAGTGTGAGTTCTTTCATGTATTTTACATACACTGCGCCTGCTGAAAGCTTTCCCACATTGCTTGCATACATAGGGCCTCTCTCCAGTGTGAGTTCTTTCATGTATTTTACACTGACTGGGCCTGTTGAATGCTTTCCCACATTGTTTACATACATGGGGTTTCTCCCCGATGTGAATTCTTTCATGTGTTTTACATTCAATGTAACTGTGGAAAGCTTTCTCACAGTGCTTACATACATAGGGTTTCTCCCCCGTGTGAGTTCTTTCATGTCTTCTATAGTAACAAGCTTTGCTAAAACCTTTCCCACATTGCTTACATACATAGCGTTTCTCCCCGCTGTGAATTCTTTCATGTCTGTGACAAGTGCCACTCATGCTGAAAGCTTTCCCACACTGCTTACATACATAGGGTTTCTCCTCACTGTGAGTCCTTTCATGTCTTTGACAAGTACTACGTATGCTGAACACTTTCCCACATTGCTTACACACATAGGGTTTCTCCAGAGTGTGAGTTCTTGCATGTATTTTACATTGATTAGGACCGCTGAATGCTTTCCTGTATTTTTTACATACACGAAGTTTCTCCCTAGTATGAATCCTTTCATGAATTTTACGATGATCTTGTATACTAAAACCTTCCCCACATCGCTTACATACATAGGGTTTCTCTCCAGTGTGAGTACCTTCATGGACCTGACCATCATTGGGTGTGCTGGAGACTTGAACATTCTTCTTACATACAAAGGTCCTCTCTCTAAGGTGAGTTCTTTCATGAAGATCGAAGTAGGATTTCCCACATTGATCACACTTATAGGGTTTTTCTTCAGTCTTTGTTCTTGTATCCTTCTGAAAGGACAGGAAATCACCACAGCATATTCCATGTTCATTACACTTACACAGCTTCTCTTTTGATTCCAAATACTCACATGTCTTGAGCCCAGTGTGAGCTATGATGGGTCTATCTAGTGACAAATGCCCAATCAGGGGCTCTCTACAAGGAAGGCGTTCCGCTGGTTTTAAACCAGCTTGTTTCATGTCCACATCAGCATCTGGGGTGCAAAGGAATATTTCTTTGTATTGGTTCCAGCCTTTATTTTGATAGCATTTCTCAACCTCTTCATTTCTGTAGAGGACAATAAACAAACAAACAAACCCTAAAATACAGTTGTAATACAGTGGGTCTCATATTAATAATTTAGCACAAGTTCTGCTTTAATGCCTCCTAAGAAATTCTGACAATGAATTAACTGAATGCCCTGGAGGTTAGCATCAAATCAGCCATTCCCAAGAGTGGTAATTATTTAGGAATTTTTTAAATTGGTACAATCTGCAATACGGACAGCTTAGTGTCATTTTGGACCTGTATATCAGGTCATTTTGACTCCTCTTTTCCATCAATCTCCTCACTCTCCTGACCCTATTTTTTTTTCCTCAAAAAGTGAGGCTTTTCTTTTTTAATTATCTCTCTTATTTTACTCCCTAATTTATATTTCTAGTGTCTCATAAAAGAGAAGGCATGTGAACTTTCACATTCATGTCTCTTTTATTTGACAATACTATAAGATGAAAACTCACACAATTTCTATTGCCAAATGACATGATATCATTTATCTTTATTGTTGATTATACAGCAGTTTTTTTTTCCTTTTCAGTGCTGGAAATTAAACACAGGTCTTAGCACTGAATTACACTTCCAGCTTTTTTATTTCTTATTTTCAGAGATTCTCACTGATGATTAAGTTGCTTAGGCTGAGCTTCAACTTGCCATCCTCTTGAATCAGCTGCCCAGAGTGCTGGGAATATCAAAACTCCCGCTGAATCTGTAAAAAATTTCTTTACTCATTCATCCGGTGATGGATCTCTGTTCTATATTGTCCTGCTTTGAGTAGGTATATGCATGTATCAGTATAATATGATGATTTTAACTCTTTTGGGACCACATCCAGGAGAGGTATTCTTGGATCAAATGAAACTTCTTTTTGTGCTTTTTGAGCTGTCTCTTCTGTATGCTGATTATCATGCTGGCTATACTTAACATTCACACCAACAATATTGTACCTCTTAAGAATTTTAAAACATGAATGGACTCAATTCTCTGGAGGATGGCTTGAAAACACCTGTAACCACCATGAACATTCATATATACTTTCAGTACTGCTCCAAGTTTAGCAGTTTTTTTACTAAGTTTCTCATAATCACATGTATACATAGGTATGCTGAAGAAGGGTTTCAAAATTAATTTCATATGCATCTATACGTAATACTAAATGCAATTTCATGCATTTTTATGATGATGATCATGAAAGAAACTTTTTTAATACATATATGTTATACATTTGCATATCAGTACTCAGTTTCCTATACTGGAATATTTCTGTAGTCAGCTGTCAGATTATACATACTAAAACTATATACATCTTTGGAGAATATTTGTGATTAAATGTAGAGATTAAATACATTTGAACATGGCTATGTTTCCCTGGTTGTGATATTTCAGTTATTCTTTTTCCTTTAGAATACAAGTTACCTTTGATTTCTCCAGTAATTTTTGTACTTTTCTTCAACTTCCTGGTTATCCAAGATTCTTCCTGAATTACAGACATAAAAATATAAGGAGATACTGTATTATTACAAAAAAATGAAGAGATTCCAGTTAGATTCATGGTATAATGTAACCAGATCTGACACAGTGTCCAAAATGTTTTTGCCTTATGTTTAACGAAACTGCACTGATGAACAACCATGTTCTCTGACCATATAAATGAAGAAGTAATGTCATCCTTACCTATAGCAGTCATATTCCTAAAAGTTTCCCTCATCACATATCTGTAGAGCTTCTTCTGGGATGGATTAAGCAAAGCCCACTCCTCCAGGGTGAAATTCACAGCCACATCCTCAAAAGTCACTGCCTCCTAAATAATCAAACATATATTTCTTGAAGGAAAGTTATACAGCCTGGTATATCTCAGCTCCTCCCATAAAAAACTAAACTGAACCTAAACTGAAAGCCAGGTATTGTGGTGCATGTCTGTAAGCCCAGCATTCAGGAGGTTGGAGGCAGGAAGATCACCACGAATTTCAGACTAGTGTGGGCTACACAAAGTTCAAGGCTGGCCTGAGCTGCACAGTGAGACCTCATCTCAGAACAAAACACAACAGCTGAATGGGGCTAAATCCTTCAAATATTAACTCTGTCTTGGTCATTAATTCATGTGAATGCACTTTTTTTAGACAGCAGTTCTGATGCTAAATTGCCACTCACTGCTAAAGCAACAGCAGAATAGCATGGGTACCTGCAAGGGTACCTGTGAAATGTCTCTAAAGCAAAGCTTACAGAGGCAGCCTACAAGATCACCATCCACCGAACACTGAGGCAAAGGAGTATCTAATGAATGGTTTTGGTAGACCATAGTAATATCATTTCGAATCTTACTATTTATGGATTGAGTCCTCCTTTCTTTGATTATATTTAGGCAGCATCTGGAAATTTGGTTTCATAAAAAAGTTGAATATCAAATAAAGCTAATGAATAATAATTAAAATGTTAATGGAAAAAGCTTTATTGGAACAAGTGTATGAATACTGAAAACAGGTAACGAGTGACATTTTATCTTATAGCTCAGTGTCACCAAATGTTCAAAAGAAATTCTAGGGGAACATGGGAGAGTAATGACAGGAAATAAGTAAGTAAAATGTATTATATGCATCAGAAATTAATATATCACAAAGTAATTAGGCACAAAAGGAAAATGTTAGCCAGGTACAGTGGTGCATGTCTATAATTCCAGCAGTTGGGAAGCTGATGCAGGAGGGTTGCCATGGAGTTTGAGGCCAGCCTCGGCTACACAATAAATTCAAGGCCAGTCTGAAATATGAAGTGACACCCTGCCTCAACTCCTGCCAAGAAAAGGATAACTTCAAAAATTGTCATTTATGAATGACACTTTAGATTTGATAAAGATTTATAGATGTACAGTATAATAAAAATCTAACAACATTCAATACCTTATAAGCAAGAAGGGTTGAAAACTTACATAATATACATAAAAGACATTCAAATCCTACCTTTCATGAGGCTCTACTATTATTAAAGAGATTGCCAAATGGATCCCAGGAAAGTAAGACAGTCTTCAGTGGGTCCACACACAAACAGAACATTGATTCATGATAGAGCTGATGCTATGTGTCTCTGGAGGAAATCACATTCTGTTTTGTTTATGTTCAGGGATAAACATGTATGCCCTTGAAAACCTGAACTGTATACTCTTCTATGGACAATAATTAAGTTACACACTGAAACGGGAAAGATAAACTTGCATGCCATGAAAAATCATACTGAAACAACTTTTACATGTGAAAAAAAATATCTCCTCAGGAGAAAATCAACTAACCATCAGAATTAGAAGGATAAATTTAAATATACGAAAATAATGAGAAATAAACAAGTCAAGAGGAAAATATTTGCTATGTAGAGAGTATAAAAATTTTGTATAGGGTGCAAAGATCAATGAACCCACATCTAAAAAAATGACTGCAATATATCTAACTCAAGAGAAAACACCAAATAGATAACAAGAATAAATCTTTTTTGAGAAAATCATTAAAAAATGGAAGTGTGGAAGAACACAATAAGGAAGTAGACATGCAAAATGGAGAATAAATTGATACACTCTACATTCATTTCCTTTACTTTGAAGTTCACCAAAATCTGTAGACCACTGACTTTTTCTCCCACTGTCTAGAGAAAAGACCACATTTCAAAAATACCTGGAGATAGATGTGATTCTTTTCAAGTAAATTTGAAAACTTATGAACCACATGACCAATGGAATGGATGAAAAAGCACTTTGCCCTTTACAACAGCAAACCATAGAAATACTTCTCTTCCAGACTGTTCGGGACCCTCCAGGCTTCTGGGTGCAGTGAAGTGGATAAGTGGGTTTGAGGCATCTACATCCGCCTCCCCATTCTGGCTACGCTTGGAGAACTGTGGAGTTTCCAGCAAGCAGGTGGACACACACTATCCCTAGAGCCCAGCCTATTTGGGACTCCTGCACCTCACCATCGGTGTGCAGAGGAAGGGCTGGGGCGGATCTGGGGTGCCTGCATCCACCTCCCCGTGTGTCTGGAGGACTGTGGATATCTCAGCAAGCTGGGGAGCATCGCAGGTTCCAGAGGCCCTGTGGCCTGTGGTAAGTGCTCAGTGCACTCTGCCTAAAGCCCAGACTGTTCGGGACCCTCCAGGCTTCCAGGTGCAGTGAAGTGGATAAGTGGGTTTGAGGCATCTAAATCCGTCTCCCGATTCTCACTGCGCTTGGAGAACTGAGGAGCTTCCAACAAGCAGGTAGGCACACGGTGTCCCTGAAGCCCAGCTTATCTGAAACTATGGAGTTCTAAACAGGCAGAAGAGGGCCATTGGTTCTACAGGTCCAGTGGCTTGGGGTAACTGGGTGCCAGAGTCTCAGGAGCTGCGAACATAGAAGGGGATTTCCAACAGACACTGAGGAAGCTTTCAAATAACACTTGAAACACACAAATATAGGAAAATGACAAAACGAAAGACCAATTAAAACCTCAAACCTCCAGCCCATCTCAAGAAACCCTAGGAGCGATGTATATAGAAGAAAATATGTGCCATTCACCTCAAATATCGGACATAATAACTACTGAAATTAATAAGCAACTCCAGGAAGCTTTAAAGGAATTCAAACTCGAAATAATCTCCCAGGTAAAAGAAGAATTGATAAAAGAAATGAAAGAGATTCTAAATATATCTAAAGAAAACACAGTTAAAAAACTGGAGGAACTAAACAAAAAGATAGAATCCCTAGATGAGCAATATAAGAAACAAACAGAATACATAATGCAGATGCACAGAGATATACAGGAAATAAAAAACTCCACTGAAAGTTGTAAAAACCGCCTCAATGAAAGTGAAGATAGAATTTCAGAACTTGAATACAGGATTGCAGCTAGTGAACAGGAAAGGAAAGATCTTTTAAAAATAACAAGGAATCAGGAAACAACAATTCAACAACTGCAAGACGATGCAAAGACAAATAACATAAGAATGATAGGGATTAATGAAAAAGAAGGAGACAACATAAAGGATGTCAAGAGGATATTAAGAGAAGTAATAGCTGAAAATTTCCCAAGCATGAGATCAGAAACCAACATCAGGATCAGTGAAGCATATAGAACTCCAAATAGTCATAACCAAAATAAAACTACACCCAGACATATAATAATTACCATCCCAGAAATCCAACACAAGAATAGATTTATTAAAAGCTGTCAGAGAGAAAAGACAGATCACTTATAAAGGAATACCTATCAGAATCACAGCAGACTTCTCAGCAAAAACAATAAAGTCAAGAAGAGCATGGAGTGAAGTATTCCAGATCCTAAAGCAAAATGATTTCCAACCTAGACTGATGTATCCTGCAAAACTATCATTCAAAATTGATGAAATACGATACTTCCATCGCAAAGAACAGCTGAAGAACTTCATGAACACTAAACCAACCCTGCAAAAAATATTGAAAGAGAGTTTAGATACACAAAGGAAAAAACCACTAGGCAAAGCAGATAATTAAACAGAACAGAAAAATAAAGATGCAACAGTAGAGAGATAACATGTCAACAATAACAAGCATTTAACAATAATAACCATTAATGTAAATGGTCTCAATGCACCAATCAAAAGAAACAGACTAGCAGAATGGTTCAAGAAGCAAAATCCAACCATACGTTGTTTACAGGAAACCCATCTAACCCAGAAGGATACTCACAGAATGAAAGTCAAAGGATGGAAAACAATATTTCATGCAGCAGGAATCCAAAAAAAAGCAGGAGTAGCCATTCTGTTTGCAGACAACGTGAACTTTAAACCAACAATGACCATAAAGGACAAAGAAGGTCACTACATACTCGTCAGGGGAAAACTCAAAGAGGAAGAGATAACTATCTTAAATATATATGCACCAAACTCCAGAGTACCCAGTTATATAAAACATATTAACAGAAATGGAAACTCAAATTATCAGTAACACAATTGTAACAGGAGACCTTAACACACCATTGACACCAAGGGACAGATCAACCAGACAGAAAATGAGCAAAGAAATAACAGAACTGAATCACACCTGTGAACAAATGGACTTGACAGACATATACAGAACGTTCCACCCAACATTAGAATACACATTCTTCTCAGCAGTACATGGATAATTCTCTAAAATACACCATATATTAGCTCACAGAACATATTTAAACAAATGCAAAAGAGTTGAAATCATCCCTTGCATGGTATCGGATCATAGCGCTCTGAAATTAGAAATTAATGATAAAAGATACTGCAAAAATGCCGCAAACACATGGAAACTGAATAACACACTCTTGAGTAATCAGTGGGTGACAAAAGAAATTAAAGAAGAAATTAAACAATACCTAAAAGAAAATGAAAATGCAGATAACAACTTACTGGAATTTGTGGTATGCAATGAAAGCCGTCCTCAGAGGAAAATTTATTGCACTGAGTTCCCACATCAGGAAAACAGAACGAATACAAATAAATAACTTGATGCTACACCTCAAACAGCTAGAAAAAGAAGAGCAAGTCAAGCCCAAAACCAAAAGGGGAGAGGAAATTATAAAAATCAGAGCAGAAATCAATGCAACAGAGACTAAGAAAACAATCCAAAGAATCAACGAATCAAAGAGTTGGTTCTTTGAAAGAATAAATAAAACTGATAAGCCCCTAGCCAACCTTATTTAAAAAAGGGAAGAAAAAGCTCAAATTCATGCAATAAGAAATGAAAAAGGTGAAATCACTACAGATCCAACAGAAATACAGACCATCAACACCTATTTCAAAAACCTCTACTCTCAAAGGTTTGATAACACAGAAGAA